GGTGTTCTATCTTGATTCTTAAAAATGAGAATCTAAAAAGCACTATATATGATGTTAATTAATCAATTATATGATTGCATTTATGAGTTGATATGATATCTTTTGGTTGTTTCAGATAATAGGATCAAGAATAAGATGATCAATACCGAAACATATATGGCTTCATCATCAAAAATTATTTCACATGCGATTTTCAATGGGTCGTATTGCATTTTATCATTATTAAGAGTTGTTATACGAGGACCCATTTTTATCGCACCAATCAAATCAATTTGCACTTTTAAAAATCTTGAAAATAATCTGAGAAAATCGCAGCGTCTCATTATATACTTTAAAAATTCAAAAGTGGGTGTATCAAATAAACTATATAAAATCATAAATTTTGAAATAATAACGATTTCCTGACGTCCGATTTTTTTTTCAGAGAAACAATAATGTATTATATATTACCTACCAAAGTATATTCCAGTTAAGTTAGTTAATAGTTGGAGTCAGACTTAAAATCGAACCACGGCTACCAACATTGGTATGATATCGTCCACCTGATTTTTAATGTTAATCTAACTCAATTTGATGGATTAATATTAAGTTATATTAATCATTCCAGGTCCAAATCAATGAATCATCATTGAATCTTTATCTTTTGTCAACAAAAAAAACCACTCATTGAATCCAAAAGAAGAACGAATTTATATGCCTCATATTCTAACTTTTTAACACTAAATCACCACTTGGTTAAATATTCTTTCAATCGATATGGAATGTTCACCAATAAATACGGCATAACGAGGATGAAGATAACAAGTCCTGTAAATTTTGTCAAATTAAAAAAATTAAAAATATATACATATTTACATGAACATGATCCCACCAAATAAATAAGTTGATGTCAATAAATACTTGAATAGATGATGAACAAAAAAATGGCGGACCAAGACATTTGGGACGACCGGAGTTTAGGGAGCATAAATGGTCCTATATGACTTACCCCTCTTCCGTATAAATGTATTTTTAGACGTATAAATGTATACATACGTATACAGGATCGGTTTAATGAGCCAATCCAATTTCCTAAAGCGATTTGATGTCGGTACGTTCGATCCCCACTTGTCATTTTTCTTGTTTTTCAATTCTACCACCCC